TTTTCTATTATTTCTTCCTCCTTGCAAAAAGTATCCATTACCTCATCCTTTTATGCAGTTTAGTGTTGCTTTTTTTATTTGGCCCTTGTATTCCCCCTACCCCAACCTTCAAATCTAGCTGCAAGCCCTCAGAGCCAGGTCAGCACAGGCTCTGGCCAAACACATTTTTCTGGTCTTTGCTAAGTGCATCCTGGCGATGCTGAGATCCCATCGGTCTGCACTCTTGGGCTGTGATCCAGGAAGACAGATCCCGGTTTTGGATGCCTGTAATGTTACCAGGCATTCCTTGCTATGTCTTCCTTTTATTTCCAAATGCACGTCCACTGCTAGGAGAAGGATTGCCTGGGCACCTGACCCAAGTCCTTCCTGCAGTTCCCCTCCCGCCTTGCACAGCCCAGGAGATGCAGTCAGATCTTTGTGTCCCTCCTCCATCCAAGGTGGTTATGGAAAAGCGTGGCAAGCCCTGGCATCTCCTGACCTGCCGGGTTTGGGGTATCACTGTCACTCCTGAGCCTCCCTTGAAGATGCTGCTGCAGAGTTCTTAGAGGCATTACATGCTGGGGAAGGGACACTCTGCTCCTTCCCACCTGACCACCCTGGCACGAGCCTTCACTGTTCTCTCCTGGTCTCGGGTTTCTGAGGGCAGTACCAGAGCCCTCCCCATAGAAAGGTCATGAGGGCTTTGGAAGGCGGTTCCTGTGAAGTGCTCAGTAACCATTCCTCAAAGGGAGCCAGCAGCCCTGCGGAACTCCCTGCCCTGCTCCTGTGTGAACAGAGTTCCTCCCCCAGCTGATGTCTGGGTTGGAAAAACCTCCTGCTGTTCAATCTCAATCCCTTTCCCATGTGTTCTTCCAGTGGTGCTGTGTTTTTATTTTCTTTCTCTCTTGAGCTCCACTGATTGCCATTCCCCTCTTCCTCCTCTGTCTCTCTCTCTAAGGGTTTGCTTCGTGGACTCTTGATTCCACACTGACTAGGGGCCTCACCCCACAGCTCGCAGGCACACCCAAGCTGTTTCCAGCAGGAAGCCTCGCTTGCCTGTGATGCAGGTGGAGACAGGGCTCACCTCAGACTAAATGAAACGCAGAACAACTATCACTGCCCTTAGGGTAAAGTCCTAGATCCCTCCATCAATACACAGGGCTGGTTGCCCTGGCCCCTGACAACCACCCAAACCTCCTCTCACTCCTCCTGCCAGGCCACACAGCTTTCGTTCCCTCTGGCACGCAGTGGGCTCCGGGTCCCTGCATGTGCACTTCCCTCTGCCTAGGACACTCTCAGCGTTTCCCCTCTTTTAATTCATTTTTATCCCTTGAGACTCTACTTAAACGTTATTTTGCCACAGAGACTTATGTCCTAGGCCTTGCCAAAGACCCTTGCCATGCGTTCCCAGGGCACCGTGCATTTTATGTTACACATCCATCACTCTTACAAACGTATTTTTGTTATCGTGTCTGCTGATAGTTGAGAGGTGGGGTTTTCCCTGTGCCCACTGGTGGCAGAGCTCGCTCACTTCTGCCACATGGACGTCGCGGCAGGTTGTTCAGGATCTCTAATCTGCTTCTCTCTAGCCTCTGTGACAGAGCTGGGTCAGTCTCATGGGTCGCTGTGTCTGTCTCTCACCACCAACACCACACTGTCAGGCCAGAGAAAGGCTCGTTAAATTCTGGGACTGGTAACAGTGAGAAGTTGTAAACATTCCTAGGAGGGAAACAAGCACCTTTCCTCCCTAGTTGTTGCCAAAGGTCGTAGCTCCCTTTAGGACTTTTCCTATAGGATTATATGGCTTCTCCTGTTTCCTAGGGACTTGGTGGCTATAACTGAGACTTTTTCCTGCATCCACCCAGAGGGCAGCAGACCTGGCTTAGAGACACTGACTCAGAAGGAACTGGGTGTGTGTGTGTCTGCGCGCGCGTGTGTGTGTGTGTGCACGCGCACGGAAGGAAGTATGAGTGAGGGAAATCCTGCTGAAAGATCATGGGAAAGGGGAGGAGAAATGTTCCAGAGTTCAGTGTGGAGTCTCAGGGCTGTCCTGGGTGCTTTCTGAATATCAACAAGAATGCTGTGAGCAGACGCTGGCCCCAGGACCACGCTGGGGCCCTCCAGCAGGAGACGAAGGCAGGGTCTTGGCCCTCAGGCAACTTTCCTGTGTTTGATTAAGACAACTGGAGAAGGGCTCTGCCATGGACCCTGGCAGTTTCGCTTGACTTGAATGTGTGTGACAGTTATTTAATTTGTTCATCATTAGGACGGCCTCAGATTTGCGATCAGACCTTGTAGACACTGAGTCATGTATTCTGGGCAGGAGATGACTTTGCTAATTACTACCTCCCCAGCAGTCATGAAAAAAAGAAACCACCCCAGTGGTTGAAATCACAGATTGAAATATGTGATTCCAAGAAGTTAGGCCCTAGTGTATTGGAATGAAATTGTGCTGCTCCCCCTCAAGAGTGTGGCTTTTCCAGATCTTGCGTGTCTGTTAGCTCACCTGCTCAGGGCCAGAGCCGCTGCTTGGGTAGGGTCCTGCATGTTCAGTGGAATGGAACACGGCAGGGCACACACACAGGCTGAAGTCAAACAGCCGTCAATCACAGAGCCTCCCTACTTGGCCCAGACCCCTGGGGGTGGTGAGTAGACACAGGCTTATGGCAGCCAACTGACCCCACGTCCCTGTCTGTGATGAAGCCACCAGGAGGGGCCCTTGCTGGTTTTCACCATATGCTTACCAATTAAAACTTCAGTCCATGCCACATGCTGGGCTGTTGGAAACACATTTTTATTTTGATGTGGCTATTTTGAAGTCCATGTGTGCAAAAACATGTGCTTTCTGTCAACCAAATGACGCTGCCGCCGCTGAGGCTGTGCTCCTGCCATGCTTGTAAAACTAATGGGGTTTTGTATCTCTCCTAAATACTCTATTATCAGATGAAAAAGAAATTACCATAAAAATTCCTTCAGTACCAAAGGGAATGTTTCTAAAAGGGCTGTTCACTCCATCCCATGACCCAGCACAGTTTTTACTTTTAAGGAAGCGTGTATGACGCTCTCATTCTCAGGCACGCAGCCTCACAGCTGTGTGGCCACTGGTTTCCTTCTGTGACTGCCACCCATGCCTCTCTGTCTGGACACTGTGCCCTCAGATCTCCAGTTCCTAAAGCCTTCCCCTCTTGGGATGCCCAGGAGGGACAGCCCCTCAGCTGCGGTCTTTGCCGCCCCTCCCCCTGTTCTCCAGCCTTCCCAGGAAGCAGGTTCCTGCCCCAGGCCGGAGTTCCCAGTAGAAGATGCACAACTACAACCTGTAATCAGAGCAGAGGAATTTGCTCCTCCACCCCCAAATTCCTACCTGGCACTCAGGGACATTCCCACAGAGGAGTGGGATTTGGAAGTTGCCCAGGAACATAAGGAAAGGTGGTATTTCATCCGCTCCACTGCATCTTCCCTGCCCAGCTAACTCCCTGACTCATCCTCAGAGGATGGCAACCTGAGAGCAGATGAAGGATTGGGGGTGATGGCCCTGTGGGTCCTGAAGAATGAGTTGCTGGGAAGCTGGGGTTAGCTGGACCCCATGCCTCGTAAGGTCTGAATGTCCCTCCCCCTTAGTAATGCCCGTGCCCAGCCTGCTGAGGGGCTGGTTCTGTGTGCCCCATGGCCAGCCATGCCCATTACCTGGTGCGGCAGGATGCCTCCGCAGAGTGCTGCCCTGATCTGCGTGTTCTCATGGAGTCTGGGCAGGTCCCTCTCATCCCCTGCCATGTGCAGACCCTGCCAGAACTTCTGTGGTGCTTTGAGCAGTGTGTACCTAAGGTTCAAGCACACGCCCTTAGAGTGCGTTGCCAGGGTTCCAGAGGAGCGGCTTTGCTCAGTCTGAGGGCAGTTCCTTTAAGAGTGAGCCGCCCTCCTCCAGCCTTCATGTGTGGCAGTTGGCTCAGAATTTTGTGTATTCTCAATCATTTTGCTACATATCCACAGCTCATAGCTGAGAGCTTTGCTCAGCAAAAAAAAAAAAAAAAATGCATAAGCCAGATTGTGCCATTTCCCTGTTCCCTAGAGTGTCACGTGAGTGCGAACATGATCATCTTACCTCAGTGACAGCATCAGGTCTCCAGCCTTGATAGGTTTGCAAGTAGACTGTGACCATGAGTGATTCTTCCAAACTGCTTTCAAAATCAAACTAACTTCACATTATGAGCAAACATAACCCAAGAGAAGGGTGATGAACCTCACTGGTTCAGCCAACTGATTTCAGGACACGTTAGCTGATTTTCGTCAGCTTGATCCACCATGGATTTTGTTTCTCTTTCCCTAAACAGGCAATAGGGTTATATATTAGTTTCGTATTGCTGTGTAACAAGTTTCCACAGACATAGCGATTGGAAACAACACTCGTTTATTATCTCACAGTTTCCATCTGTCAGAAGTTTAGCACAGCTCAACTGAGCTCTTGACCTTGGCTGTCCACTGCCACAAGGCTGAAATTAAGGCTGCAGCTGGCTGAGCTCTTACTAGGAGACTCTGGGAACAGTCCACCTCCAGCCTCGCTGAGGGTGATAGCAACATCCAGGTCCTTGTGCCCGCAGAACTGAGGTCCCTGTTCTGGTAGGCTGCTGACCAGAGGTGGTTCTCAGCTTCTAGAGGCCACCTGCATTCCCTGTCAGTCAAGCAGTAGTGATGTGGCAGATCCTTCTCCTGCTTTGAACCTCTGACTTCCTTTTCTGCTGCCATTTGGAAAACTGTCTGCCTTTAAAAGGCTTTCCTGATTGGATCCAACTCATCTAGTTACTCTCCATATCGTAAGGTCACTGACTGGGACTTTCCTGTCATCTGCACAATCCCTTCACAGCATTGCCTCCGTGAGTGTTTGAATAGCCAGGGGATAGGTCTCTTAGGGGCTGTCTTTGGACATCTGCCCACAACAGAGAAATCAACCTCACATCCATTCTCACCTCACATCACCCTTCCAAGAAACCTGTTGTCAATATAATCTCCATTGTTGTCTCCACCAGCAAGTGCCGGGGATCCTGAGCCCGAATCAGAGGCAGAACCGGAACCAGAGGCAGGGGCAGGGCAGGTTGCTGATGAAGCTGACCAGGACATAGCCTCTGCCCACGAGGGTGCAGAGACCGAAGTGGAGCGGGCACTAGAGCAAGAGCCGGAAGAAAGAGCCTCCCTCAGTGAAAAAGAGAGACAGAACGAGGGGGTGAACGAGAGGGACAACTGCTCTGCCTCCAGCGTCTCGTCCTCCAGCAGCACATTGGAGAGGGAGGAGAAGGAGGACAAGCTCTCCGGGGACAGGACCACCGGTAAATGAAGCCCCTTGTTTGAGTCGGCATGTGCCAGGGAGGCCTGGGGTGCAGGGGCTGGTTCGCTAAGAGCCTGTCCACAGGCTGGTCTCTGAGGTGACCTGGGTCAACCTACTCATGCAGCTGTGTCACCCAGTGTCTGGGGACGAGGAGTGTGGCCATGCTGGCAGCCAGCCAGCAGCTTTCTGCCCTGTAGAAAGATGGCCCCCAAACCCTCTGCCACACCGTCACATTCATTACCTCCACACCTGAGGAAAAGGGCCCCGATAAGGAGGGCCTTTCCTGAGGAATAAGCCCCAGAAGAGAAACCTCTCACCTCCCCCTGACTGTTCCATTGTGAATAATAGTAAGGTTGATAATAGTAAGGCCTTTTCCATTTTTGATAGAAGTTTAGAAACTGTCACATTGTCATCTATTCCTTTAAAAATGTGTTTACTGAAGAGTGTTAATCATTTTGACTGGACATTTCAGACTGGAAAAGATTTGTTTAAATGGATTGAATGAGTGTTTCCAAAAAATTGTGGTACGCAGTGTACTGAGGTCAATTTGATGTACTGGAATATAGATCATTTGTTTTCTACATTATACTCATAACCATTCTTTTCTTTGTATAAAGAACAAGCTTTTCCTTATGGAAGTATATCTTTTTGGTGTTACACTTAATACTCATTCAGTTCTCCTGTGAATGGTAACTTTAGAATTAGGGACCAAATGGAATATTAGATTATAGGTTTGGTTTAGCCTGAAAGAACCTCACCAAGGACTTGAGGAGGGTGCCAGAGAGGGTTATGGGAATTATAAATAATTCATATGATCTGTGATACCACAGGGTTACTTTTCCTACCCACGACTTACGTGCTATCACGGTGGTAGAATGCCTCCTTTTCAACAAACACTCCTAACCAGTGGAGTCAGGTCTAATGGACCAGCCTTCGTTAAGCTGCATATGAGTGGTACCCACTCAAGTCAATGTCTTAGGCCCAAAGGACAATATGATGCCTCTACCAAGGACTGCCAGCCAGTGCCATGACCCATGAATGGCTTATTAATTCCCAGATTAAAAATACATTGTCTCAGAAGCATGGATGAATGAATGAATGAAACCAGAATGTCTTCCAGTAGACCTGTCAATCAATGGCATAGTCTAAAATAGTTACTATTTGGATTTTTCCCAGTTAGAATATACTACTAGATTTTATACTTTATATTGCTGGTCACTATGATGCAGTAAAAAAGAGAAGATAAAAGACTTTATTAGTTTACATATTAGGAATTATTGCATTGAAAATCCAGTGTCTTCATTTGGTTGAATATGTATGTGTCAAAAGGTATTATATATACTGATATTTACTTAGTTTCTTTCAAAGTCAGATTGCAGTTAGTCCCCCAAACTCTACTTCTTAATCATATTTCTGTAATTATTGTGGTAATACTGGATGTAGGTTGAGTCTCACTGGTCAGATTGGTCTTAAATCATGTTTTATTTATTAGGAATAGCTTTAAGAATTATTCATCATAACTGGGTTTAGCAGGCCTAAAATATATCAAGTAATTGGATTAGTAAAAATATACCAGGCGACAGAGCTTTCTTGGGTCAGATTGTCCAGTATTCTTCCAAATAAGGACAATTTTCCAAAAATGGAAAGTGCTCCCAGTGAAGAACCATTGACTTTCTACCAAAAGTGGGCAGTGTCCAAGTGTTTCGAAGCAGGAATTAGGGCTTTGCAATGATTTTTCTGCTTTGCTCCAGTGCTGTTAAGAGATTTGGTCATGTTTATTTACTGTAGCTTATTGGATCCTAAAAAATCTCACTGTTCACAGGCATCATCAGCCACTGTGGAGTCAGGGCAGCTATGTCATTATAGCTCTTGCTTTTCAGAGTGCTGTCAAATCACAGAGCAACCTTAGAGATAATTAAAATGATTCCCAAACGTATTTCTAATGACTACGTCAAAAATGAATTTGTAGGACTTAAAAAAGTCTCATTCCAGTTATGTGGTTCAATTTTTCTTTGTTTCATGTGTTCTACTCTAGGGCATGCATGTGAGAAGCTTTATCATAGCATGAATTATGCTTTTTTATAATTACTTGTATAATTATCCTTTGTCTCCACTTGAATGTCAGCTTTGTGAGGATGGGGATGTCTGTCTATTCATTGTGAGTCCTCACTTCCTAGCAGGGTCTCACAAAACAATCGATGAATAAATGAAGAGAAGTCTGTCTAAGATGGGGAAGCTTCATTGCTCCTGGGTTCTCCCCTCTTACAACCAACATAGCAACACTCTGAGAATACCAGAACAATCCATCAGAGGAGGACTGTGAAATGTGGAAAGAAGAATGCAGACAGCCTAGGAAGCTCTGGACTTAAATTACATGACAGTGAAGTTCCAAGTAAAGCTTATTTCCCTAGCCAAAGGACTGGGAAAAGGATTGCCTAACAGAACAGAACACAGGCTTTTTACTTATTAATACTTGTACCCTAGACAGGCACTAATGAAAAACCTGACCCAGAGTCAATGGAGACTGATAGGGAGCTGAACCTCCGGCTTCATTTGGAGGCGATAAGGCAATGTGAGTCAGTGATTTAATTTCCCTGGGAAGGTGCCAGTGGGGCCAAGGGAGGGGGCACTGACCTTCTACCCTCCTCATCTGCAATGAGCCTGTGTGAGTCAGCACTCTTGCTGGGGTGGTGACAGCAGGATCCAGCAGGGAGCTGAACATCTCCCTCCACCAGCATCTGTATGCTATACCTAAAAAGGCTGACTACCTACTAATAGATTAGATAGGATCCAAAGTCTAATAATGCACAAAATGTCCAAGACATAATGGAAAAATCATTCATCATTTCAAGAGCTAAGGCAATCACATCTTGAATGGGAAAATGCAATAAACAAATGCCAACACTGAGATGAGCCAGACATTGGAATTATGCGACGGAGATTTTGAAGCAGCCATCATGATACTGCTTCAGTGAGCAGTTACAAACACTTAGGGAATACATAAAAAATAAAATATCTCAGCAAAGAAATAAAAGATATTAAAAAGAACCAAAGGGCAATTGTAGGACCTGAAAAACACAGTAACCAAAATAAAATACTTACTGGATAGTCTTAATAGTAGATTAGAGACAACAAAAGAAATGATTAGTCAACTCAAAAACAAATCAATGGAAATTATGAACTCTGAATGGCAGAAAAAAACAGACTAAAAAACATGAACAGAGCCTCAGGGACCTGTGAGACAATAAGACTCGATCTAACACCAATTCATTGGAAGCTGTAGAGGAGAAAGAGTGTAATGCTGAAAAATTATTTGAAGAAATAATGGCCCAAAACTTCTCAAATTTGTCAGGAAGCTGAGCAAACCCCAAACAAGACAAATTTAAAGACATTTACACCAAGACAAATGATAGTCAAACTTACGAAAACTGAAGACCAAAAACAAGCAAAGAAAGTTTTCTAAGAGGCTAGAAAGAAACGTTTTACCCATAGGGGAACACCAGTCCAAATGACAGCACATTGCTCATCTGAAACCATGGAGGCTAGCAGGAAGGGGCACAATATTTTGCTAGTGCTAAAAGAAAAGAACTGTCAACTATAAATTCTATATCCTGCATATGTATCCTTTAAGAATGAAGGGGAAATAAGATTCTCAGATAAAGAAAAACTAAAAGAGTGGGTCCCTAACAGACCTACCCTCAAAGAATTACTACCAGAGGTTCTCCAAACAGAAAGAAAATGGTGACAGAAGTCTTGGAACTTCAGGAAGGAAAGGAATGGGTGAAAACATGGAAAAATAAATACTTTCTACTTATGAGTTCTTAAATCATACTTGATGGTTGAAGCAAAAATTATAACATCATTTGATGTAGTGCTCTGTGTAGGTAGAGGAATACTTAGGACAGCTATACTTTCAGAGTGGGGAAGCTAAAGATATCTAAATGGAAGTAAGTTTTCCACACTTCAAAGTGGTTAAACAGCAATACTAGTTTACTGTGGTTAGTGTGTATAATGTAATACCTAGAGCAACCACTACAGAAACCAGATGAAACAATGTACTTGAAAACACTATAAATAAATCAAAATGAAATTCTAAAGAATATTCAAAGGGGATGAAGAAAGGTTGACTAATGGGTACAAGTATATAATGCAATAGAGAAAATAAGACCTAGTGTTCTATAGGATCAGTAGGAAAATTATGGTTTACAATAATGTGTTGTGTATATTTCAAAATAGCTACAAGAGAATACTTTAAATGTTGTAAAAAAAAGAAAATACTATTTAAGGTGATGGATATCCCAATTACATTGATTTGATCTTTACAAATTATATGAACTTATTAAATTATCACGTGTACCCTGAAAATATGTATATCTATTATGTATCAATTGAAAAATTTGTTAAAGTAAAAGTATTCAAGTAACCCATAGGAGACCAAGAAAGGAGAAACAGGAACTAAAACAAATGGAACAAATATGACAAATAAAATGGCAGACTTAAGCTCTAACATATCAATAATTCCTTTAAATTAAAAGATAGATGGCAGAGTGGATAAAAAAAGACCCAATTTTATGTTATGTATAGAAAACTCTTTTCAAACATAATGACACAGGTAGATTGAAAGTTAAAAGTTGGGGAAAAAATTTGTAGGACTAGGTATAAAAGGAAGAAAAAAGAAAAAAAGTTGAGAAAAGATATATTATGCAAACATTAAATCAGAGAAAAGCAGGAATGACTACATCAGATAAAGTAGACCTCAGAGCAAAGGAAATTACTAAGGACAAAGAGGGACGCTATGAATGATAAAAGGAGTCATGAATGAAGAGAATAAGCGAGGAAACTGGCATTTAAAATATATTACCTGTTTGCCTGGGTGCAGTGGCTTACACATGTAATCCTAGCACTCTGGGAGGCCGAGGTGGGTGGATCACTTGAAGTCAGGAGTTTGAGATCAGTCTTGCCAACATGGTGAAACTCCCATCTCTGCTAAAAATACAAAAATTAGCTGGATGTGGTGGTGCACACCTGTAGTCACAACTACTTGGGAGGCTGAGACATGAGAATTGCTTGAACTCTGGAGGTGGAGGCTGCAGTGAGCCAAGATCACACCACTGCACTCCAGTCTGGGCAAGAGTGAGACTCCATCTCAAAGAAAAAGAAATTCTTTTCCTTGTTGCCAAAATAAGAAAATGCTCACATTTCCCAATAAATGGAGAAAGAGCGAGGCCGTCTCTTGAGAAGGGCTTAGCTGCTTTATCTGCTGCAGCCTCCTGGCATCAAAGTGGTCTCTCTGTTCACAGGAGTGTCTGACCACTTGTTGGAACTCCAGCTAACCAGATTTTTCGCTCTTCTCCTCAAATGGCATCTCATCTCCTTTTGATGGTGATTATTTTCTAAGTATATTTTGTTTGTAAAACCTAAAAGAGGGTTCAAGAGCTCCTTGTTCCGGTGTTGAGATGGCCTAAGGTCCCCTGGTCAGGTTAAGCCATTATTGCACTGAGGACAGAGAATAAAGCTACACTGGAAATCCTGGGGGACCTTGTGCTCCCCTGGTCAATGCCTCCTCAAGCCAGGGCCCACCCTCAGCGTGTTTGGGGATGCTCCTTTGGCTGAATGAAGCTCCCAGTGCTGACCTCCCAGGCCTGGGTCTCCTGCCACATCTCAACACCAGAATCCACTGAGGCCCTGGAAAGCTGATGGAACTCACCTCCTGAAGCACTCACCACCTGGCCCTGCCAGCCCTGATACGGTTTGGCTGTGTCCTCACCCAAAACTCATCTTGAATTATAGTTCCCATATTCCCCATGTGTCATGGGAGGGATGTGGTGAAGATAATTGAATCATGGGAGCAGTTTCCCCCATTCTGTTCTTATGGTAGTGAATTCTCACAAGATCTGATGGTTTTATGAGGGGCTTCCCCCTTCTTTGGGCACTCACTTTTCTGTCTCCTGCCACCATGTGAAGAAGGGCATGTTTTCTTCCCCTTGTGCCATGATTGTAAGTTTCCTAAGGCCTCCCCAGCCATGATGAACTGTGAGTCAATTAAACCTCTTTTCTTTATAAATTACCCGGTCTTGGGCAGCCCTTTATAGCAGCATGAGAACAGACTAATACAAGCCCCAAAGAGGCAAACCCAGAGGAATAACATTCCTGATCATTCATTCATTCATTCATTCAGTTGTTCCAGATGTTGCAGAAACAACAGTGAACAAAACAAACCCAAATCCTGTTCTCATAGAGTTTACGTCCCATGACAAAGGCAATTTAATGAGTAATTATAATCATTCCAGTGATAGGGCAGAGGCAGACAATAAAATAAGTAAAACATGACAGATTTGATAGTCACAAGAGCTGTGATGAAAAATAAAGCAGGAAAGGATGATCAACAGTGTTGGGAGAGGATTGCACAATTTTCACTAAGTGGTCAGGGAAGACTTCACTGAGAAGATATGGTTTGAGTAAAGACAAGAGGTCAAAGATAAAAATTGTGTGATGTAGTTTATCCCAGGAGGGGCTGACACCCTGAGGCCAGATCGTACTTGGTGAGTTCTAGGAATGGGAAGAAGTTGCTGTAGCTAACAAGGTTTATGGGCGTGTGTGTCTGGGAGTCGGGGAGTCTTGGTGGTGGGCGATGAATGAAAAGTAAGGAAGGATCATGGAAGGCCTTGTGAACATTGTGTCATGGCTTTTTCTCACAGTAAAAGGTGGTGCTGTTAAAAGACTTCGAGCAGAGAGATAGGATCAGACATTTTTATAAACATCATGTGGCTGTTGGGGTAAGAATTGGCTATCAAGGGACGTGACTAGAAGCAGAGAGTCCAGCAGGGTTGCCCGTGCAGTACTGTAGGCAGGAATCCACGCTGGCCTGGCCCTTGGTTGTGGTAGCAGAGGTGCTGAGAAAAGCAGCTGGATTCTGGATATGACATGAAGGTGTAGCCAACAGGATGCCCAGCAACACTGGATGTGGAGGATGAAAGAAAAGAAGTCAAGAATGACTCTGAGGTTTTTGGAATTGGCAGCAAGATGGATGCAGTTGCCGTAGCTGAGACAGCAAAGGATTGCAGGAGAAGCACTTTAGGTTGGGGACTGCATGGGTAGAGAAGGTGGTGTTTCATGGATGGCATTTAATGCCTTGAAACTAGATGAGACTGAAAGAGTGCAGATGGAGAGAAGAGGTCCAAGGACATTTAAAGGTTAATGACAAGGAGGAACCAGCAAAGGAGACTGAGAAGGAGTAGCCAGATGTCCTGGGAGCGCTGTGTCATACGTCATATCTTGGGACCCCTGTGAGGGGGGACAGAGTGGTTGACTGTGTCTAGTGCAACACAAAAGTCACTGGTACCTGAAAGCAGCAGCTGAGAAGGGTAGTGGGAGCAATAGCTCCCTCTGACTGGGTCCAAGAGAAAAGAAAAAAAGAAATTGGAGGCAGTGGGCAAAGCAACTCTTATGAGCAGCTTTACTTTAGAGGAAAGGAGAAAAGTTAAAGTTAGGTGATAGCTAGAGGGATGAGTGGGGCCAAGGATGATTTTGCTTTCTTAAGATGGGGGAAATTATATATATATGTATGTTAATGTGCCAGAAGGAAGACTGTAGTGGGAGGGCCATGGGAAATGCAGGACAGATAATTTCTGGAGTGGATTACTTATGCACAAGTGGTCTCTCGACCCCTGCTAAGAGGTATGTTTATGAGGCAGTCACAGGAGGGAGACTGTGTTCTAAGGGTCAGTGCAGGTGGGAGAGTAGAGGTGGAAGGGAGGCTCTGGAAGATTCCTTCTGGCTTCATCTGTTAAGTCCGTGAACTTGGAGGCAAGGTTATCTCTGAGGATGAGATGGGGCAGGAGGTTAGAGAAGAGAGGGCTATGGAAAGTCACCTTGGAGAGGAGTGAGTGAGATTGTCAGGCAGCATTCAGTCCCCTGGAGACTAGGGACCGTGATAAGGAATGAACCTAAAGAGTGACCAGTGGCACAGTTTGTGTGTTTTTGAGGCACTTTGAGCTGCACTAGTGTAGATTTGGAGTCGGGGAGAGAAGCAGAGGTCATCTTCCAGGCTTCCAACACCTGCTGGGGCCAGGGAGTGGCTTCTTGCCTCCCTATCTCAAGTTAGGGCAGAGGCTCCTTAGTTACCTGTGGCTGAGTGGGTCCTGACCTGTTGCCTTGGGTGGGCAGGAAAAAGGAGGAAAATTTCTCCCGTGAGCCCAGGTAGGAGCCAGCAGCATCATGCCTGGAAGAGTCTTGGGTCCTCGTGTGGGTCTTTGGGACTGTAAAGCAGCATGTCTTCTTGCCCAAGAGCATCTTGTTGGTCATGGCTTTGACTGTTCGTGCAGTGTCTTCTCTGAAGTTACTCCCATGTGTCAAGCTCACTTATCGTCTAATCGGTTTTCTCATGGAAGCGAGGCCCCCCTTGCCCCTTTCTCATTTTTCTCTCCCGTGTACTTTCAGGTTTGTGGCCCGCAGGTGTCCAGGATGCAAGTGTAAATGGACAGTGTGGCGACATCCTCACCAACAAACGGTTCATGCTTGACATGCTGTATGCCCATAACAGGAAGACTCCTGGTGATGAGGAGAAGGGAGATGGGGAGGCCGGGAGGACCCAGCAGGAGGCAGAGGCGGTAGCCAGCCTTGCTACCAGAATATCTACCCTGCAGGCCAACTCTCAGACCCAGGATGAGAGCGTCAGGAGGGTGGACGTCGGCTGTTTGGACAATCGGGGCAGTGTGAAAGCATTTGCTGAGAAATTCAACAGCGGGGACCTGGGGAGAGGTTCCGTCTCCCCTGATGCTGAGCCCAATGACAAGGTCCCAGAAACAGCGCTGGTGCAGCCAAAGACAGAGTCTGATTACATCTGGGACCAACTCATGGCCAATCCAAGAGAACTCAGAATCCAAGACATGGATTTCACTGACCTGGGGGAGGAGGATGACATTGACGTCCTAGATGTGGACCTAGGTCACAGGGAGGCCCCTGGGCCACCTCCCCCACCCCCACCCACCTTTCTGGGTTTGCCGCCCCCACCCCCACCACCCCTGTTGGACAGCATCCCTCCCCCTCCTGTCCCCGGTAATTTATTGGCTCCTCCTCCTCCAGTGTTCAACGCTCCTCAGGGCTTAGGGTGGTCCCAGGTACCCAGGGGTCAGCCCACATTCACTAAGAAAAAGAAAACCATCCGTTTGTTCTGGAATGAAGTTCGGCCTTTTGACTGGCCATGTAAAAACAACCGACGCTGCAGAGAATTCCTGTGGTCAAAACTGGAACCCATTAAGGTGGACACTTCCAGACTGGAGCACCTGTTTGAGTCTAAATCCAAGGAACTATCTGTCTCAAAGGTACTGCTAGTCTTCAGCATGCTTCTTGATTGGAAGTTGGGTAGGGCTGATGAGATTTGTTCTGTATAAAATACTATTTTGCGTTGCTTTTGCTATTTGGTAAAAAGTCCATTGCTATAAAAATCTGATCTTTAATATAGTGTTCCTTCTGCCACATGCTAGGTGTAGGCTACATGAGTCAGAGACCCTTATTAGCTAACATGGTCACCAGCTTACTTACATTAGGCAAAGGAGCTTTCAAAGAACCAGATAGCCCTGAGGAAAAGACAAAAATGGTCAACTAAGGAATGTCAGCATAGCCCAATAGCAGATGTTGATGTTAACTAGAGAAAGTGGACTTGCTGACTCACCAAACACGGGCTATGCTTATTTAATCTTACCTTCATTGATTATGACTGATAGTAGTAGTTTGAACTTTATCTGTAACCACCCAATAAGCTCAAAGGCAATAATCCAACTGACATTTCTTTGACTTGGCCCCTGATCAAGCCAGCATTCTGCAGCTATCTAGTTTTCCAGGAGCTGTATATTTGGCATCCTGTCAATATTACACATGCATCTAGATTTAATATTTTGGATAAATGTTTGAGAATCCTATAGGCACTGCCGCTGTGATAGTAACAAAGATGTTATACCACTTTTATCAATGGGAAACACTGTACATAGTTACTGGGCACCAAAGGTTAAGTCATGGTTAATTTACACGATAAACTGCAAGATATTGGATCACAGATTTTATATCTAATGATTCCCTATATTAGTAGAGTCTCCTTCGCATATCTTAACTGACTTTTAAAAACCCATCCTGGGTATTTTCCAGTTTTAAAACAGGTTTAAGTCTATCTCCTCTTTTCAGCTACTAGGGGTAGGAGAAAGCACTTTGTAAAGTATAATTTAGAATAAACACGCAAGAGATTATAATCATGAATTAATTTTAACTCCCTGTGTTGCTGCATGCATGTATCTTTTTGGGTGAGTATGAAACTCTGAGTCAGGTTCCCAGCCCTGCCAGTTGGACACCAATTCTGTATCAAAAATTACATGCAGGATCCTTGGAACGAGTGAGCCCTTCAGATGAGGAGCACAGTGACAGAGTTAGCGCCTGTCACTGCTGTGGGATGCTGACAGGCCAGCCAGGGGAGCTGTAGTTGGTCAGTTTCCTTTCAAAGCATGCTGGCATTCTTAAGCTGCTTGCTGCCCTTCACTGGTTGGCATTTACCCCGGTGTGTGTTTCTCAGTGACCACATGAGTCTATATCATTTCCAGCCTCAGGAATCTCCTCAAATCAGAATTACAGTTTTCTCATTTACAAATCTACACTGTTAGGATCCAGTGTAAAAAATCATGCCCAATCAGTCCTGTCCTTCAGTTGAAAGTAGACCCAGCTTTTTTTTTTTTTTTTTTTTTTTTTGAGACGGAGTCTCGCTCTGTCGCCCAGGCTGGAGTGCAGTGGCCGGATCTCAGCTCACTGCAAGCTCTGCCTCCCGGGTTTATGCCATTCTCCTGCCTCAGCCTCCCGAGTAGCTGGGACTACAGGCGCCCGCCACCACGCCCGGCTAGTTTTTTGTATTTTTTTTAGTAGAGACCGGGTTTCATCATGTTAGCCAGGATGGTCTCGATCTCCTGACCTCGTGATCCGCCCGTCTCGGCCTCCCAAAGTGCTGGGATTATAGGCTTGAGCCACCGCACCCGGCCTAGACCCAGCTTTTGTCCCCTCCAGAAAATAACACCTAAGAAAGGGTTGCCAGACACCCACTTTTGGTGTATGTGTGTCCTGACTTTCTAGGACTGGTACCAAGTGGTGCCGAGCACATGCCCCATTCCAATTCTTTTTTTGTTTTGGTTTGTTTTGTTTTTTTTGAGGCAGAGTCTTGCTCTGTTGCCCAGGATGGAGTGCAGTGGTGTGATCTTGGCTCACTGCAACTTCCACCTCCCAGGTTCAAGAGATTCTCCTGCCTCCGCCTCCTGAGTAGCAGGGATTACAGGTGCCCACTGCTACGCCCAGTTAATTTTTGTATTTTTAGTAGAGATGGGGTTTCACCATGTTGGCCAGGCTGGTCTCAAATTTTAAACCTCAGGTGATCCACCTGCCTTAGCCTCCCCAAGTGCTGGGATAACAGGAGTGAGCCACTGCGCCCAGCCTTCCCCTTCCAATTCTTATAGGCAGCCTGACATTTAGGAGAAGACCAGTTGCGATTAACACAGCAGTCCATGGTTGCTAGAAGTTACCCATGACCTGACTTACTGACACCACCCTCCAACCCACTGACCTAACTGGACAGAATACTCCTCCTCTCCCTCCTCCTTCTCCCTCTCCTCCTCTTCCTCCCCTCATTGCCCACCTGGCTGGCTGCACCTCTAGGCTTCTTGTGGTTCCCTGTCAGGTTGCTGGGCAGGGGCTGCCCCTTGACTCAGTATTGGGAAGAATAAAATGGAATAAAAGTACGGAGATGAAGGCACTCCTAGCTTCATTTTTACAAAATTAAAAGTTTCCTCAAGTAGGCCCAAAATGAATGCTTCACCTACCTCCCTCCTTCTCTTGGTCCCACTGCAGCCAATTTGGTCGGTGATAATATTCTAGCCTCTGCCGTCTCAGCCCAAAGTTGCGTGATTGCCTGAAGCAGGTAGTGACCTCTAGAACAATGTGTTGCCTAGCTAATAGACAAGCGTTTGTATAGTTTTTATCAAGTAGGAGTATAAGAAGAAAGTGATATATTAAATGAAAAGTTTACCAAACTGATTCCAGAATGTTCTATAATGAGACCCCAAAACCCCTACCTTTGTTTTTGGGATAGGAAATGTGAACAGGAGCTAGTTTACAAAATGTTACAAAAGTTAAGAATGCAAGTTAGGATTAAACACGTCACTGTGTTTGGCCATGATGGGTGGCTCATGCTGGTAATTCCAGCACTTTAGGAGGCCAAGGTAGGTAGATGGCTTGAGCTCAGGAGACCAGCCTGGACAACATATATATATATAGTAGAGATGGGGTTTATATATATACGTGTACACACACACACACACACACACAGCAGGCATGGCAGTACATGCCTGTAGTCCCAGCTACTTGGGAGGATGAGATGGGAAGATCGCCTGAGCCTGGGAAGGTCAAGGCTGCATTGAGCTGTGATCACACGACTGCACTCCAATCTGGGTGACAGAGCAAGACTCTGTCTCAAAAATCAAAAAACAACAACAAAAAAACCCCACATTACATTGGAGAGTTGAATCCATTTTGCATATGTTACTACTACAGATATAACCAATCTCATTTCTGTTTCTAATCCTTGACTGTGGTTTTCATAAATCACAATGTAAACAGCCACTTCTGATTTCTGGCTCCGAAATTTTTAAATTAAGTACAATAAATAAAATGCAACAAAAATAGAGTGAAATAGACTTCACAAGACAGCACAAAACAAAGCGAATTTGTTTTAGGTTTCATCAAAAAATCTAACATTAGACTAGAGTTATTGGGCGTGGCTGTGACTAAGCCACCCAAAAACAAAGATTCCTGAGCCAGATCTAAGGCTGGGGTGACCACCTAATGAAAAAAATGGTAAGACTGAAAAGATGCACTTTTTAATTTTCTTTCAAAATAGTTTCTGGAATTGGATCAATTGTTCTCTATCAGCTGGAATTATATGGTGTTTTAATAAGACGAATCATATTGTGTTTTATGGTGAAAGGTAGAAATCCTGTGCTGAATTTCATTATGTTCTGACTGCTGGTCTAAGATGTGGTGAGCCCCATAGGCGATAAGGTGACCCCGGGAAAAGATGTCAGAGCAGAAAGCCCTGGGACTTTCTTGGGCTTGACATCACCCTGGGGGGCCCCAGGAAAGTGACTTTCCAACCCTTGTACCTAACCAGGGGCAGCAAAATCCCTCTTGCTCTCAAAGGGCAGCTTCTATGCCCCAAGTTACAGCCAGACCAAAACAGACATGGAGTGGGACTCAGTTTCCACTTTGGGGACCTGATGTTGTCTTACTCTCTTGCATTCATTAGGTTTATCACAGGGAGGGAGTCCAGAATGTATCTGGAGATGTTTATTTACCTTGAAGTTTCTAAATCTATTTGAACTGGTAACAGCCACTTTTAAAGAAAAAATTAGGTCAGGTTGGGCCTTGGCCTGGGTTATTTTTCTTATTTTTATTTCTTAGAGACAAGGTGTCACTCTGTCACCTAGACTGGAGTGCAGTGGCACAATCATAGCTCACTGTAGTCTCAAACTCCTGGGCTCAAACGATGCTCCCACCTCAGTTTCCCAAGTATATTTGTAAAAGCTCCTCAGGGATTCTCAAGTACAACCAAGGTTGTGAGCCACTGATTTCTGGTGAAAAATGAGGCACTGAAGGAGCACTGTGTTCCCCACCACCACTCTCCACATGGACGCTCCCTGACCCTTTTGATTTTCCTGAGAGTAGATAGAAATCTTCTTACGCTATATTCAAGTTCAGGACATAATAGGTTATTTAACATTACCCTCAGAAATCTGAATTCTACCTAGAATCTCTGAACACAGCTCTGGGACTTCAGCAGGGCGCTCATACATCCTTGTGTGCCCAGACAGTCCTGGTGTGTGCCTGCTGATCCTATAGGATGTGGTGAATCCTATAGGAGAATAAAATAACCCCAGAGAAAGATGTCAGGGCCAAAAGTCCCTGGAGGGCATGGAGACTCCCTTCTCTTCTCCTGGGTCTCTGGATTAGGATAACAAATAAACTGAATTCATGCAGGAAGTCTGTTTAACAGTTGACCTCTACTCTAGACAACCCAAAGGGCACATATGAGAAATTAATACTCTTTCCTTAACAATAAGGCAAACCTTACCTGGCAAGACATTTTATTTCTAAGGATTCCTCCACCTTTGCTCGGGCTTAGTTTTTGTTTGTGTTTTTCATTTTAGGGTGTGTGTGTTGGTGGGGGTGTAGATGGGGGGCGGTTTGCCTTAATGCTTTCCTATACACCTCCTTGTCTCCCTTGTTTCAAGACTTCAGG